GAGAAATTTAAAAATTTTGTCAAAAAAGGTGTTTATGTGAACTTACTTAAAAATTTCAAACTAAAATTGCCCAAAATAATGATTTCAAAAACTTTTTTATTTTTGAAACATTAATAATTCCATATTATTCGATTGTAAACGAATCAAAAAAAGGTCAATTGATGCGTTTTTAATTATTCTATAAATTAGTCATAAAAGTTTAGACGCTAAATAATGATTTCTGATGACAAATTACAAAAAACTTAAATTTTTCAAAAATTTTAATTTTTTCTTCTTCAATAGCTCTTAATAATTTATCAGTAGAATATTTGCAAATATCTAAAAAGTTGCATTTTTAGTGCTTCTCGAAGACTGATAAAACAAATAAAAAAATTTAATTATAAAATAGTCAATTTAAAACAAGTTTTACAAAATTTTTGATTTTTGAAACGTCAATAACTCTGTAATTTTTTTTTAGCAAAATAATAGCAAATAGGACATTTGATCGGTTTTCAAATATTCTACAAATAAGTTGGTTATAGTTTAGAATTAAAATCTAGTTTTGCGATAGAAAATTTCAAAAAGTAACGTTTTTAAAAAATTTTGATTTTTGAGGGTTCATAATAACTCTGGATAATTTGGCACTAAAATATTTGCAAATAGCTAAAAAGTTGTATTTTTAGTGCTTCTAGAACTTTGTCAGAATAGAAAATATTTAAATAAAATTTTTTTAATTAAAATTGTCAATTTAAGACAAGTTATAAAAATTTCTGGATTTTTTGAAACGTCAATAACTCTATAATTTTTAATAGTAAAAGGTTTGTAAATAGATCTAATCAATGTATTTTATTTAATATTCTTTAAGCTGGAAATAATGATTTATAAGATGAATCAAGATTTTTGAACAAAATTTTCAAAAAAGATACATTTTTCGAAATTTTTAATTTTTATAAAGTCAAGAGAAATCTAATATTTTTTATCGTAAAAGAATTGAAAATTTGGCAATAGATAGAGTTTCAAGATGTCTTAAACAATATCAGAATAACTCAAAACATAAAGTAAGAAATTTTAATTAAAATTGCCTTTTTAAGACAATAAAATTCTTTTGTTTTTTTAAACATCAATAATTTTGAAAGATTTTATACTAAAAGCTTGGCAAATAAATCAATCGATACGTTTTTAAGTATAATCTATAATTTCGTTACAATAGTTTAAAAGTTACATAAAGATTTTTAAACAAAAACTTTAAAATTAAAAGTCTTGTTTTTAAAATTTTTTGATTTTTTAAACGTTAATAACTGTAACTTTTTTATACCAGAAAGATTTGCAAATAGATCAATCGATGCGATTTTAAGTATTTTCTAAGTAGGTTATGATAGTTTAAAGATTTTATAAAAATTAATTTAAAAAAAAAGTTTCAAAAAGTATCAGAGGATATTTTTTGTTTTTATATTAGAAACTGTTTAATATAAAAAGACAAAAAAAAAATATGAAAACAATAAAATATGGGAAACAAAAAACATACCATTATTAAGATTAAATTATCGTCACCACATATACGTACACTGTATAATTAAGGAAATGCTCACTTAAAATAAGAAAATCGTGTATAATTTTCAATTTCTTTTCAATTTCAAGGCATTGAACTGTGATTGTTTTAAATTTGACAATTTAACAAAAAAAAAACACTTGTCTATTTCGAAAACTATGAGTTCTTGCTGCCTCTATAGAATTATTATTAACACACAAAATGATTTACGTAAAAGTTTTATTACACTCTGAAAAATCATAGAATGTTCTTGGTACCATTAGTGAAATAATTGTTGCGATGTTGAAATATGAAACTAAGAAGAAATTTTACAACAAGAGCAAAATTTGATGCAAAAAAAAAAAGTTAGATGAAAAAAAATTTGTCTATTTGTAATCAGAAATAGGAAATTTTTAACACAAATATGGTTGATGACAATTTGTGTTATTTCTCGTTTAGATTATCATCTTTTATGCATTCATAAATCTTTAGTGTTTTATTAGATAATTATTATTATTTATAATAAATAGTTTTCAAAAAGTAAAATAGCAAAATATTTAGCAGTGAATGTAAAAGTTAATGTATAATAAAATATTAAACATTAATAATAATAACTTCAAGGATAGTTAAGAAATTAATAGAAAAATAGCGGTTGGTTGCCTTTTATAATTGAGGACATTGCAACAAAATAGTAGCATGTCTCGTAAAGTAAACTGGACAATTTTTTGCAGTTGCGTCCTCAATTATGTGTATATCTATACGTGTATTGTTAAAATCCGAAACTTCAAGGTTGTTTTTTTAAAATAATTTTCAAAAGATAAAAACTTATCTTGTCCTCGAAAAAAAAACTTTGCCCAACCCAACTTTTGTGGCCAAGAAACACTTATACAATATGAGCCATTGTCACCTCATCAGCGTTGCACATCAGATATTAAGAACAAACATATTTCTACACAAAAAAAAAAATGGGTCACAATTCTCTAAATGGTATTTTTAAACATATAAAGTAATTGTTACAGCAATAAAAAATTATTTTAACTACATTTAATCAAATCTATATATTTTTACTTTTTTTATTTTTTACAAAAATGTGTTTTTTACTGTAATACATTTTTGAAAATTACTTTCAAAATGTTTTCTTCTTTTTATGATTTTCTAACATGAATCTTTTGACCCACAGGTGAATATTTTATTGTCATTTTATTCCGAGTTATTTAATGTTACAAGAAACAAAATTTTTGAAAAAATTAAAGAACCTTGTTTTCATTAAAATTTTTTTTTAATCAATTTTTATGAAATTTTTAAACTATCATAACCTACTTAAAAAATACATAAATTCGCATCGATTCACCTATTTTCGAATCTTTTTCGATAAAACAGAACGAGAGTTATTAACGTTTAAATAATCAAAAAATTTTAAAATATGACTTTTAATTTTGAAGTTTTGGTTTAAAAATATCTTTGTGTAACTTTTAAATTATTATGGAAAAATTATTATAGAATACTTAAAAACACATCCATTGATTTATTTGCGAAGCTTTTACTATAAAATCTTTCAAAGTTATTGATGTTTCAAAAATCAAAAAAATTTTATTGTCTTAAAAATGAAATTTTAATTAAAATTTTTTACTTTATGTTTCGATTTATTCTGATATTGTTTAAAATGTCTTAAAACCGTATCTATTGACAAATTTGCAAATCTTTTACAATACAAAATAATAGATTTTTTTGACTTTTTGAAAATCAAAAATTTTAAAAAGTGTATCTTTTTTGAAAATTTTGTTCAAAAATCTTGATTCATCTTCTAAATTATTATTTTCAGCTTACAGAATATTAAAAATACATTGATTAGATCTATTTAAAAAACCTTTTACTATTAAAAATTATAGAGTTATTGACGTTTCAAAAAATCCAGAAATTTTTATAACTTGTCTTAAATTGACAATTTTAATTAAAAAAATTTTATTTCAATATTTTCTATTCTGCCAAAGTTCTAGAAGCATTAAAAATACAACTCTTTTTAGCTATTTGCAAATATTTTAGTGCCAAATTATCCAGAGTTATTATGAACCCTTAAAAATGAAAATTTTTTAAAAACGTTACTTTTTGAAATTTTCTATCGCAAAACTAGATTTTAATTCTAAACTATAACCAACTTATTTGTAGAATATTTGAAAACCGATCAAATGTCCTATTTGCTATTATTTTGCTAAAAAAAAAATTATAGAGTTATTGACGTTTCAAAAATCAAAAATTTTGTAAAACTTGTTTTAAATTGACAATTTTATAATTAAAATTTTTTATTTATTTTATCAATCTTCGAGAAGCACTAAAAATGCAACTTTTTAGATATTTGCAAATATTCTACTGATAAATTATTAAGAGCTATTGAAGAAGAAAAAATTAAAATTTTTGAAAAATTTAAGTTTTTTGTAATTTGTCATCAGAAATCATTATTTAGCGTCTAAACTTTTATGACTAATTTATAGAATAATTAAAAACGCATCAATTGACCTTTTTTTGATTCGTTTACAATCGAATAATATGGAATTATTAATGTTTCAAAAATAAAAAAGTTTTTGAAATCGTTATTTTGGGCAATTTTAGTTTGAAATTTTTATGTAAGTTCACATAAACACCTTTTTTGACAAAATTTTTAAATTTCTCCAATTTGCATCTTTTTGCAAACATAACATTAAACGATCTTTATGTTCTAAACGTTGAAATGAACCAAAAATTTGTTTACAATTTCTTTACTCTCTAAATCTGAATTAGTGAAAAGTGAGCTACTAATTTAAATTAGTAAGAAATTTCACTAATTCTTAGTCACTGTTTACTAAAACTTTAGTAAAAAAAATTTTAAACTACTAAATCAATAAGTAATATTTTACTAAAAATTAGTAAGTGAAAAGTGCGAGTTACTAATTCACATTAGTAAGAATTTTCACTAATTTTTAGTAAAATAATACTATTTGATTTAGCAGTTTTAAATTTTTTTACTAAATTTGTAGTGAAAAGTGACTAAAAATTAGTGAAATTTCTTACTAATTTGAATTAGTGACTTACTTTTTGCTTCTCAATTAGTAAAATTTTACTAATTCTAAAGCAAAAAGTGAGTCACTAATTAATTTTAGTAAAGATTTTTACTAATTCAGAGTTAGAGAAAAATTTTAATGAAAAATGATTAAAAATAAGTAGAAAATTTTTACTTATTTAAATTAACGAACTTAATTCTCACGAATTCATATTTTAGAGAAAATATTTTCATGAAATGATGACGAGAAATTATTGAAATCAAAATTAAAATCTAAAGGTATAATGTACAAGGTTTTATCTTTTCCTATCAATCAGTAATATTTGAAAAGTAATCATTATAACAAAACCGCAGCATCATATTATCAAAAGTGAAATTTCTTATTTTCTACACTAAACTTATAATAATAATAATAATAATAATATAAATTTTTAATATTTATTAATCATTATCACTCACCGACTTGTGATTAAACTCCAACTAATCCTGAATGACAAGCTGATAAACTAAAGATCCACACAAGTAGAAATTATTAAACACAGAAGCTTCTCCTTTTTAAATTTCTCCTCAGATTTCGATCTTCGTCCCGCTTCGAGGAAACCTATCGACACCATAACACAAGGTGCACTAAAAAATTATCGAAAAAATTTCCTAAATTCACAACAACAACAACAACAACAATAAAAAACCTTTCTTTTCTTCTTTTGTTATTCCAAAATTTTGCCAATCACCGTCACTACCGTTTACATTTCGCCACGAAACTCTTAAACCATCTGCTTTTAAAAACTATTTTTTTTTCAACAAATCTTCAGTTATTCCAATTTCTATCCATTCTTCGAATCCACAATTTTTTTTTTTTTTTTTCTAATTAGAAGTCACCGTAAATTTTGGTTCCACTTCACACAATATCTTGTAAGATTGATGATCACATATGACGACCTTGAAACTTTAAATCCTCACTGGTAGCAGATTTTGAACAATTTTTCAAGAAATGTTACTATTTCCTTAACAATTGATTTTCTCTTCTCTAATGATGAGGTTGTTTTTTTTCCAATTGATTGTTTCAAATTGTCACAAGATTTGGGATTTTCCAACAAGAAAAACGAAGTGGAAGAGGTTCTTTTTGAAGAGGAACTGATTGCCACCCGTAGACAGAAAATTGAAGAAAAGGAAAATAAAAGAGAAAAAAAAAGAAAAAAGAACCCCCGAGTAAATTGAAATGGTCTACAGGAGCCGATGGTGTCCTCTACACACCATATCTATCCTCTTGGCCTGAAGGAGTCCAACCGGCTGCCTTCTGGTACCTACTGTATGCTACGTCGGCTCTCACTTTCTCCGGCTTGTAGTTTCATTTCGGTACGTAAAACTCTCTCGTGGTCTTCTCCTCCTCCTCCTCCTCTCCTCCTCCTACCTCTGAAGCCTCTTCCCTATCCTACCAAGGAGAGTTGTATAGTCGTCTTTTGGCTTCAACTTTTCCCTCCATGTTATGCCGATCAAACCAATATTCATGTTTATAATCCTCCATAATCATTATTTCTCCCAAGACGTCAAAGAGATGCTGAGGTCATATTCTGACTTCACCGGAACCTGAGACGTGCAACCAATATCTCATTGCGAAAACAGGATATATATTTTTTGCCAAAAATAAATTTTCGCTTGTATATTTATATAAACGAGTTTTTGAATTAATATTATCGATTTTTTTTTTATACATGAAGAGATATTTTTTTTTTTTTGAGATGTGCACATATGAACAATCAATTATTTGATATGATCTTTATTTTTAGCAGCAGTTGAAATAAAATAAAAAATATTTTGCTGCAATAACTCACGGAGAGAAATAGATGGTATGGGGTATACTATATCTAGATAGTACCAGGTACCATATTTGATCTTATATTTACGGACAGCAATCTAGATTCTATCAGTTACTATCCAGATTGTACGGAGTAACATCTTGATTGTAGTGGGTAGGGGAGACCGAGGAGGAAAGTAACAAAAATCAGTTTTTTTATGCTAGCATTAAAAATATTTGTCGGATAAATTTGTCCAATATATTAAATGAAAGCTTGGACATTCACCTTTTAAATAAAATTTGAATTAAACATTTATAATAAATTGACAGTTCACAGTATAACTTTTACGCAAGCTCTTCATCTGTTACTTTCCTCCTCACCCCCGAGGAGGAAAGTAACAAGCTCCTAGGAGGAAAGTAACAATATAAAATTATGTAAAATTCTTTAGACTAATGACTATTATTAATTAGAAATATTTTTATTAGGAACACATAAAAGTTTAAGTACACTTTATACTTATTTGGCACATATATGGGACATATTTAGCACATATATCGAACATTTTATGAATTTAGCTCATTTTTTTTCTTAAAGATATTTTATGCTTACCTAGATCACAGGTTTTTCTTAAATAAATCTCTGTTATTCGTAAAATTAAATACGATTTGCTTCAATCATTAATTAAAACATGGACAATATCGACAACAGGAGAAAAGTAGCGTGTTACTTTCCTCCTCGGTCGATTTTTTCTTGTATGTCAACAAAAAAGTTAAAACTACACAACTGTTAAATTGTTTGTTTAAGCACAACTTAAAGACAGATAATAAGGCTACAAAATAACGAAAGGCACATTTTGAAAAACAATAAAATTAAAGAAATACGAGAATTTGAAAATTTGAACGAAAACTTACTTTTGACGTTTTTTCTGCACGTCACACCGGAATCAGACCTAACCTTTCCTGTCAGGCTCGGACACACTATGGAGGAGGAAGGGGGAACAGTGCCGACTAAAAATATGTTTGAACCATGTCTATCCGATAATTTGTTTAAAAGTTATAAGCTTTGTTACTTTCCTCCTCTGTTACTTTCCTCCTCGGTCTCCCCTAACATAAACATACTTTTTGTAACATCTTTGATAGTACCGGATAACATCTACTTTTTACCATCTTAAGATCATAAGTTCTTACCATCTATTTCTCTCCGTGCTGTAATTTATTTGTGTTAATGTTGAATATTTTTTAGAGTAAAAAAAATATTTAACAATTGAAAATTGGTATGTTCTCGGAATATATGTAACTTTAAAATATTAGGGGATGATGGGGTAAGAATAGTTAGGTAAGACATGTTTTGAACATTTTCTAAATATCAATTATTGCATTAAAATTCGTCTGAACTAGAATCTGAGGTTTAACCAATTTTCTTCAGATGATCACCAATTTCTTGGTCAATAAGCTTCTTTTTTCGTATATAATTACATACCATTATGTATATCAACATATAAAGAACAATTAAACATTTTTTTATAATTTGCAGTCGCATTAGCAGGATTTTATCGATCCGTAATAGCTCTAACTATATTCTTGCCCCATGAGCCCATATTTCAGTTTTTTCTAAATTTTAAGGAACGACGTGAATTAATTTGAAAATAAATACGATATTTGTGTTCAGCAGGAAATTCCACTCCGGAAAAGACTTACGTAAATAAATATTCGGAAGCACTAATATATAGAAAACAATATGATAAACACTATATACGTTGACATTTTAGCAAAACAGACTTTTTACAAAAATAAACTCCTGACTATGCAAATGGTGGCAGATTGACTTCCAATTTTTACTATCATCTATTATTGGTGTTAAGACGCAAATATACCATGAATGACGCGATTTTTGAGCAAGCCGTCTAAGCTTAACAGCAACTAACTATCCTTGCCCCATCCTCCCCTGCAGTAGTAAAAAAAATTGTTTGAAATAACAGATCTGGGGTACAAAAGTACCCTCGAGAAAATTTGAACTACGGCCCTAAGTCTATAAGCTTATCATGGCGATAACCCAAACTTAATTCATTTAGTTATAGAACAATAAATTTTGATCCTAGCGGCGATTATTTACTTTTATAATAACTGGTGGTTAACTGTAGGCTTAGTCTCGATGCCACACTTATTTTTGTCAAAGAACCCCGCACCATTTACATGAGAATTTGGGGTCCGGTGAAATTTTCTGCAACTTTAAACTTTCGTAGTTTTTGACCTCCTGAACAAAAAATGTAAATGGCAAAATTCCAAAAAATGGACAGATTTTTTAAAAATTGAGGTTTAAGTTTAAAAAATAGTGTTAAAAGCGAAAAAAATTCAAAAATGAGTAAAACCAAAACAACTAAACAAACTTTCTTAAAACTCGTTAAAAAAATAATTTTTAAATCTTTTTTCGCCAGTCTGGATCCGGTATTTTGAATTTTGAAAAACTATCATCGAATTCGTAATTACGAATTCGCTAATTATAATTAGCGACCCCGAAAACCCCCGAGTAACAAGATTTAAGGGAATTCAATGTATTTAAAAAAATCGTCGGCCATTTTGGATTTTCAAAAATTGACATCGAATTCGTAATGAGCGACCCCGAAAACCCTCGAGTAGCGAGTTTTAAGACAGTTTGTTTACTTCTTTTGGTTTTACTCATTTTTGAATTTTTTTTGCTTTTAACACTATTTTTTAAACTTAAACCTCAATTTTTAAAAAATCTGTCCATTTTTTGGAATTTTGCCATTTACATTTTTTGTTCAGGAGGTCAAAAACTACAAAATTATAAAGTTGCAGAAAATTTCACCGGACCCCAAATTCCCATGTGCGGGGTTCTTTGGAAATGAAATTTTTTATAGCTTTCTATATTACCGACTGGTTAAAGATTTAACTGCATGTTAGTACAGCGCTGACAGTATTTTAATTTTTTTTTTGCAGATTCTATCCTCGATGGCTTGTGGTGTCACGTACTTCAAAGATAAGTGCAAAAGTAAAAAAGGGTATCTTGAAGGACACAGAATTCACACCGACTTTTTAGAACTCGCAGTCTATTTTGACGGTTATTTTTCACATTTTCTGAATGGAAATTTAACTTGAAAGTAGGGATCTCCGAGGGCTATTTAGTTTGAAAGAATCTCCTTGAAGCTGAAAATTCGTTATTAAGGTAAATATATTTTAATTTATTGGAAAAATTTTATTACAAAAAATTTAGTTGTATTTTTTGACGTGACTACGTCTTACTCCAAGGTCTAGGGATTATATTACACGAAAGTGTGAACATAATTATTACTGAATTTTGAAATTTCATGATTTTATGTAGAATATATTGTAGATTATTGTATAAAATGATGCAGAAGAGCAATTTGCGAGATACAGTCTTTTAAAAGGGTTAAATTTGAGAGCAGAAACTATTAGAGCTATCGCGTTGTTCTTTTTTGCACATTGTTAGGAATTTAGTCAGCTTTAACTTTCTTATTGGTCTTTCTTATTCAAAAAAAAAAAAAATCAAAGCTATATTCTAAAAAATGAAAAATACCAGATTTTGGCTAAAATCAAGAAAAAAAATGTTTTTTTTTTGCGGAAGCTATATCTCGGTCAATTTTTGAGCTACAGGGTTCATTTTTAATCAAATTATTCAAAATTTTATACACTTTCTTTTTTCTATGAACTATTTTTACGCTAAAATATAATGGGAAATGGCAATTTGCAAAAAACTTATTTTTTACACCTATTTTACAAAAAAAAATTTAGGTTCCCATACAAGTTCGAAGTACCAAATTCAGGTACTTTATTTTTACCTCAAAATGAAGGGTTTAAATTAAACAAAAAAAAAAAATTAGATCCTGAGTCAAAACATGATATGCCTTGTTTTTCGACTAATTTGACTGGACTAATTCCTTTTTTATGGATTTTCCTTATCCGTCGAATTCTTGTCATTTCTTGTACTTCAACTAGTGTTACAATAATTATGATTTTTTTTTAATTTCAAAAAACGCTTATTGAGCCTTCAAGTACAATAATTCAGTTTTACAAATACGCAGGAATTCTTTTAAAAATTAGATTATTTAAAAGATACACTATTTTTTACTTAAAAAATGGCATCTTTTGCTAATCTTGTGTCTTTTTTTGGTTTTTGTAATTTTTTGACAATATTTTTGATTATATCAAAAAACTAAAAAATGCTAACTGCTTCCTTATAAAAAAACGAAGAAAATGACTTATAATAAAGTTATTTTGCGTTAAATATGAACATTCTAGAAACAAAACAATTTTGGGGTAGTTTTCTACCCCATAGTTGTACTTCTACGTATGAGCCAGTGATGTTTGTACTGTTTAGGGTTAAAATCTGTGGAAGTAGAAATATATGTGAAAATTTAGAATCCTTAAAAATGGAATTAGAAATATACGTAAAAATTAAAGTAAAAAATTAGAATCGCTTACAGTGGAAGTGAAAGCGTAAGTGAAAAAGTAAAATCCCTTAAAGTGGAAGTACAAATGTAAGTGAAAAT